TTGCTAGTAAAACTACTAAGGTCAAAATCTACAATCGCAACACTAAGACATCTAAAACTCTTTCAAAATCATAATTCATACCATATAACCCGGTGTCTCTCAATATATGATCATATAATAATCAAGATTGAGTCATAGAAAACACAAAAATATATGAGATAACCTCTATTATTACCGAGTACAAAATCAATCTCTCAACTCTAATGGATAAAGAAGTTAGCCTCTATTAAGGGACTTTTTTTACTGTTCTGCCCCAAAATTGAAAAAAAAATTCCCAATATGCCCCATTTTGAAAAAAAAATCTCAGGATACCCTTTTTTATGTGTGTGCTCGTCCATCCATTTGGAGAGCATGTGAACGGGTTTTGGCAATGTGTGTGCTCGACCATTCATTGGCCAAGCAGGTGAGTATTGTTTTTACTTTTGTTTTATTATCAAATTAATTTATATTAATATTATAATTAAATATAGTAATAAGTATATTAAAAAAATATTATTTAATCATTAAAAATTAATTTTCTAAAAATAAATTTTAACTATGATTATTAGTTTTTGCAATAAATTTATAATAATGAGAATTATGCGGTAAATAAATTTAAAGAGCTAAAATATTTTTTATTGATTATAAACAAATCATCAATCATAATGACCGCCTGTTCCACATCTGGTGTTCTTTTTTGTTTGCATTCCCTTACCCAACTCTTTCTATTATTTGGAGGTGTTGAAGATGAATCGGAAGACAAATCTTGATTGTGATGTGTTACAGGGGGGGTTCGCATGTGTTGTTAGGGGGTCCACCTCCATACCAAGAAGGTCTTGAATGTTATAATTTGGCATATCCATAAGTTTTTCAGTCGTGAGTAAAAAGTTTTAAAATGAATGGGATGGTTGTGTGTAGGTATTAGGATGGATATGTTGAATTAGCAGGTAATAGACATCATCACCCGCGAAGGTAAATGTGGGCTGAGAGAATGTAGTGTTGAATGTTTGGTGTTGAGATTTGGGTTTTGAGTAATCGAAGTTTGGCTGAGGAATTGGAGTGAACTGTAAGGGTGGTCGATGGATGGATTGGTGTTGATATTGTTGGTTGTTGTAGTAATTTGTTTGAGGGAATAAAGTGTGGGGAGTTTGGTGTTGGGATGAGGTGGCATATAAGGTGTGTTGTTATGTGGCCTGTGTGTGTGGTATGTTTGTTGTGCATATGAAGATGCTTATCCCCCAAATTTGGGATGTGTACATTGGTGGGACATCTTTATGTATTGGCGCGCCATTTGGTTGCATTGAAAAGGAGATATGTCGACGGGGTTCGTTTAAAAATTGGGCGGGAGCAACATGCACAAATGGAATTGCATGTAACCAATTCAAATATTTTCAACTTGGGTTACGCTCACCCACTGTCGTGGCCCCTACAATATTAAATGTATTCTCTGTTTCCATTATTTCACCTCATCTTTGTCCAATTCTTACCAATGGATTTTTTTGGGATTTTTTCATCGTCATGTCGTGGTGTTCCCTTAGACACCTTGGTTTGGAAGGGATTTGTTGTTCAAACCCAAACTGGAGTTTTACCCTATCTTTATGATGCATTTCCACAGTAAAGAAACAAATAAGATAAGTTGTCACACTTCAGACTCGGCTATCTCTATGATTGGGCACTGGGAATTGAAGGTATGACCACCAAATAAACTGTCACAAAATATAAAAGTTAGAATATAAATAAGAAGTCTAGAAAACATATAGGTTGTATGGTTTGAAACTTATGTCTTTTTCGTCCATGTGCTTAAGTGCGACTCGATACCCACATAGATAATAACGAAGATTATTTTCGTAATTCATACCTCGTTGGCACCATCTTGCATTTTCAAACAAATTTATTAATGTTAGGTATATTTTATTAAGAAGATAATAAAGTGAATTTATATATTAGGAATACCTTTGAGCGTATGGAAATAATGGCTTCACTATAGTAACAGGAGCAAGCAACGACATACGCGTGAATTCCGAAACAGTGAGTAGTACTACACAACCTCCCATGCTTCTGACATCGTTGTAGGCATCCTTGCACATATGTCTATACAATGTTGTCAAACAAGCAGAACCCCAACTATATGTGTTTCTTTTTTCTAGATCTCCCATGAAAGGTGTCCAAGATGAATGCAACAAATTGTGACACTTGTCTGGGAACAACAAAGTAGCAATGACAAGTAAAATGTATAGTTTATCTTGTAAACTATTATCTTCCTCGGTTGGGGAAAATTTATTTTTTAACTCTTTATACAGATTCTCTAGCCAAAGAATCTTTACAGACCCTCTATTTTTATTAGAGTTTGTAGGTTGTACCCCTAAATTTTCAATGTAAACATTGTTTGTTACATCGATAGGGCCATTAACAACTTTTTCATCTACTCGAAGACCAAGTAACATCCTAACATCCTCTAATGTTATAGTGCATTCACCAGTTGGTAAATGAATCGTATGATTTTCCGGTATCCATCTCTCTAACAAAGCCACAACTAGTCTGGAGTCAATTTTTAAACTCGATATTTTTGTGATATTCACAAAACTGGCTACTTTCAAATAAGGGATTATTTCCCCACTTGGTTGAATATGAGTGTGCAAATGGACTCAGAACCTACCATCCTCCTAGAATTTTTTATAAATAATAATGAATACAATGGTTAAATAAATAATTACGTTGAGATTGTAGAAACCTTACATTTGCTTTGACGTTTGGTGGTGTTTCACAATGCGATTCTCCCATCCACAATAAAGACATTTTGAGTTTGTGAAGTGAGTTTGCTAGAAAAAATCATTGATGAGTGAGTGAATGTGATAGAATATTTAGTGGAAGATGAAGAAGTGAGTGTGATAAAAAAAAGTTACTAGTAATTGAATTTGTAGAGTTAGAGATATGAGTGTGCATGTGAATAGTAAATAATTTGAAGTGACCATATTATGAGAGAATTGATTTAACAAGGCAAGACATGGAAAATTGCAATACTAGAGTACACATGCATGCAAGTCTATTCCATTACTAGTTAGTCTTGTTGTATGCATACATACCAGCTTTTTATCATGTACCTGCTAGTCACTGCAAAGGACAAGCACACACATCTGTTGTTGTTGCTTGTCACTTCAAAGGACAAGCACACACACGTAAAGAAGCTTCTCATCACACATTGGCCTTTTCCTCACACCAACATTTAGTTGTCTTTAAGTTTATATATATTTATTTATTCATCTGTTCATTCAACATTCCATTATTCGCTCATACTTTTTTTACATCTAAATGGCTCAGAGAAATTTAGTAGTAACCAATCACTTTAATGGTATTGTTGTAATATTGGATTCTCATTTGGAAATACAGAAACATACTCATTCAAAATTCATGTGAATATTTCTTTCATTTCAAAGATAGGATTGAAAAAAGTTACATCGTTGTGTTGAGGAGATTATTTATCGTCATTCATTAATCAATGGAGATGATGATACCATATTTTACATAATGACCCCGATTAGAAACGACGAAGACGTAAAATCAATGTTTTAGTGTCACATGTTGTTTGCTCAATTACCTACATTTGAGATATATGTTTGTCTACTTAAACATGCCAAAACATATCCGACTCAATCGACACAATCACATCAATATTGAATGAGTCAAAATTTTAACGACGAACCAAAACAAAATAATGAACCTTTCATACCCAATGAAGAGGTTGGAGAAGATAGTGAGGATGATCTTGAAGAGGTCAAAATGCAAGATCATTTTGGTAACAACATGGCAGTGACGATCTAATCGACGCGCCTACCCAAGAAATTAGCGTCAAACCTATAAATTTGTACAATCCACCTGTACATATGCAAAATATATGCTTAGAAGATGTTGAACCAATCTTTGTGTTTGGATGTATCATACCAAACTATGTAGGTGACAAAATAGAGATTAAATGTACGATACGTAATTAAATGTAAGAAACCAGACTACAATTTCAAATGCAGAGCTTCCTTGAGAAAGAAGAACTCAAAATGGAAGGTTGGTAAGCTTACTGGGCCTCATACATGCACTACCACGTCTATGTCACAAGACTATAGGAAGCTCGATTTAGAAATGATTAGACACAATATTAGAGAGCTTATTAATCGCAATGGATGGCAATATCCACCATCTTCACATGTCTGCTGCATTAGACACATTGCGCAAAACTTCATGCGTGAGATTATAGATAAGGAATTACACAAAAAACTTATTAACATGGGTAACAACATACATTTCAGTTACTGCAAAGATTTTCCCAGTTTTATTATGTTTTTTATAACATTTCTACTACAGGTTATGCATTGAAGAAGACTACATTTAACTACTATTACGGGGAAATTAGAAGAATATACATTGAAGCTTCACATTGGATAGACAACATACCCAGGGAGAAGTAGGCAAGAGCATATAACATAGAGCAATATTGGAGACACATGATAACTAACTTGGCAGAAGCAATGAACTCAGTACTCAAGGCAACTCGAAACCTTCCAATCACTACTTTGGTCCAATCTACATATTATCGCTTGAGTTCACTCTTTGGTAAAAGTGGTCATCAGTGGACAAAAATGTTGGCTTCTAGGCAGGTTTTCACGGATGGTTGCAATAAGGGAATCACTGAAGGATTGGCTAAAGCTAATAATGTCATGCAATTCGATCGTAAAAGATTCTATTTCATGGTCCACGAAAAAATTAATCAGAATGATGCTCGTCCTACAAGTACTTTCAATGTTGATCTAAGGAAGCGATGGTGTGATTGTCGGAAATTTCAAGCATTTCACTTACCTTGCTCCCACGTCATCACGTCATGTTCTAGAATACACCAGGACTACTCCATTCACATTCTAGACGTCTTCAAAATTCTTAATGTATTTAAGGTTTACAAGGAAAGCTTCCTGGGACTACCCAACAAGAAGAACTGACCATGATATGAAGAATTTACTCTTTTGTATGACAAATCCATGAGAAGAAAGAAGAATGAACGTCCAGCCAGTACCCGGATTAGAACCGAAATGGACAACGTTGAAAAGGAAAAGAGAAGGTGTGAGATTTGTCGAGAAATAGGTCACATGCGTAGAAAATATCCAAATGTAGTCGACCCGTCTAGATAATTTTGTTTATTTTTTAGTTAATCATTTAGTCAATGTTTTAGCTTTTATTTCATGTCTGTGTTATCCAACATTTAGTTATAATTCAAGACAACTTTCAGCAACAACAACAACAAAATAAAGAATCTGTGCATAAAACAACAGGACGATGAACATTAAAACGGTTGAACACATCAACTAGCCTAGGAGATTACAACCATCAAAACAATATTAGCTTGTCCATACATTATCAAAACAACATCATAGTCGTTTTTAACAGCTTTTCAGGGCCGAGTTTCTCCATCTTTAACAAGCCTGTCAATTCTTCTAATCTTTTCACCTTCAGAAATTTTACCATCTAACCAACTCACCAGACTTCTCTGAAAATGCTCGAATGTCGTTGTGTTCCATAATTGAATCTTCAACGGAGACTTTATTGGCGAAAAAACCAATTGAGCATCTCTTTTTATAAGACGAGTATTTGGATTGGTAAAATACTTCATTCTTGAAAAAATATTTCAGAGTTAAATGATGAAATTGGTGTACTAGATGAGAGATTTAGAGGTTACCACACAAAGCTATTTATAGAAAATAGAAAAATAATTAAATATTCCACTACTCGACCAATGGATACCCGAGCTCAGCCAATGGATGGATGAGCATCTTCATGCCACAATTTATGTCTAATAAATAAAACTAAAATTCAAAAAGTTGTTTAACAAACTAATCAACAACAACAACTAACAGAAGTGAATCTTCGACTCTCTGTTAACTTCATCACTATATGCTGAAGACATATATTGGACATCTTCATCATTTTCTATACGATCCAAGTAATACATGTACGTACCCTCAGGGTTTGCATCAGTCAACGTTATGTATGAACAAAAATATTATACTTTTCTCACCTTCATACGACGACCACCCAACTTTCGAAATCCGCGTTGATGGCTGTAATCAGTGTTTTGAAATTTCATTGCGGGTCTAGAAAAACACTGATTTTTTTCTTGTCCATACAACACAAAAGTCCAAACAGACATTTTTAAAAATAAAATTTGTTATGTAAGATAATTTATGTCGATACGCATCAAACTACTTATAGTAAAATATTACATGCAAACTCGGTCATTCATTGGTCAAGGATCTCTTAACACTCGACCATTCATTGACCGATGGTCTCTTAACAGTTGTTTCACTCTGCCATTAATTAGTGCAATTTATTTAATAAATTATTTTAAAAATAAAAAGTTCCTAATAAAAAAATTATAAATAATTTAAAAAATATTATTTTATTAATATTTATATTAATTATTAAAATTATTTAAAACATTAAATAAATTAAATTATGAAAAAATATTAAAATATTCAAGTGCTCTCCAAATCATTACACCAACACATATTGCCAAAATTTGTTCACACTCTCCAAATAGATGGATGAGCATACACATAAAAAGGACATTCTGGGAATTTTTTTTCAAAATAGGACATATTAAATTAAATTTTAAAAATTTGAAAGCAGAACAGTAAAAAAAATCCTATTAAATGTCCCAAAGAAAGATAAGTATATTTCATTCCTTAAATGGAAAAAAAAACTGATCAATTAGTAAGAAAATAAAAATTTACTAGCGAAATCGAAACGAAACGACATGTTAGTATAAATGACATAAAAATAAACGAGGGACAAAAAAATTCGTGCTCTGCCTGTCCTGTCCACGAGGGCATCTCAGAGTGCAGAGAAGTGGACCATAACGAAATTAACTCCTTGCTGCTATTTTTCTTTTTTTTCATATACCACATACATGTCTTGCTACTTATATATGTGATGTTCAAATTCACACCTTACCCTCAGTAATGTCTATATATAGGGTAAAATAAAATGATATCTATATACATACATACATGTGGATATATCTAATGCCACAGAAATATTAAATTAAATTTCCTGATTAATTGGACAAGGTATCTATCTCTAGCTGCTGAGTCAATGCATGTTTGGTCCCACTTTAATTAGCAGAGTGCAACCGCTATCTATCTATTTGAAAAGTATTTAACCTAAATTGAATATTTTTTATAATAAGAATTCATAGATAGGGATATTGGATAGTGACGCTAGCTAGAGAAATCAATTGGTATTTATGTGTTTGGTGGTTGCTGTCATTCACATTTCAAAGTGGACACGGATTCCACTATATATTACTCTACTTCTTTCATGTCACCATAATTCCAATAACTCATTATGATTTCTAACTTAATTTGCGCTAGAATTTTCAATAGTTAGTGATTATGCATGAAAAATTCAAGTTGAATTTTAGTCAAAAAACTGTGTGCAACTAAATTTAATATGGCTGTACCTTTATGACATATTGCATGAATATGTTCCCTCTGAACAAGGACCAATTAGTGGCCTAGTAGAAAAGTATTTAATTAAATTACTAATTTGGCTTTTGTAAAATAAAAGTTATGTAGCCAGGATCCAATTATTAATTGGCAGTATACTCATATGGAGACAGAGTGAGATCATATAAAATCTATTTTAGTTGGCAATGACGTTTAACAACAATTGGATAAACATTTGAAGGGTCTGCGCTGAGATTGGCCAAGTGCTTCATTTGTTTAGACAGTTGGAATCTTGGTTTTCATGGTGCTCTCATAGTGCACACAGCAATCCCTCCATATCCCTATCGTACTACTCAATAATATATATTTTTACGTGTAGAAATGGATTATCTTGTGTGCTTTTTGTTGTTCACACACAGTCTAACCATAGGGAGTTTTTTTGATATAAAGAGTCTGTTCTTTATTCGAATGATCGATTTTAATACTATTGATGAGTAATGAGTAGAAATATTCACATTAAATCAAGAGCTATATAAAAGTAAGAGAAACATTACATATCTAATAAATATTAAAATATTATGTATATGTGTATAAACCATTTTACTTATAAAATATTTAACTTTTATATTTTCGTATGAGATTTTCAACTCACATTTTTTTTTCTCAACAATCAATATTTTTTTCCTAAAAAAATTGAATATAAATGAAATTCATTCACAATAATTTATTATTAACTTGAAATTTTATAATATAATAAAGATAAAGTTTGGATGTAAAAATGTCATCTTATAAAATTGGAAATCCTCACAACAACAATATCGGATGGAAAAATTACAAACCTATCAATTAAAAATTTTAGAACAAAAAAATTACAAGTCTTGTGAACTACAATTTTTGGATATAAAAATTATAAATCCTTTTTAAAAACACAACTATTTAAATTTTCAATAAAAAGAAAATTGTTATAGTGAATAAACTCAAATTAACTCTCCATATTTATAATAATTTTTTCTTGTTTTCTTCACATTATTCGATGTGAAACTTGAATGAGTATCCGCTCTAACCCATCATCTCCTCTCTTTATTAAAAGTCTCACATCTTTTCTCTCCGTAATCATCTTCATTCTCACAAATAAAAGATCGTCTTCACAATTAACCATGTTCGCAGAAGGAGCACGAAGGAGCGCTCTTCAATTATCCGATCTTCTTTTTTATGCTTCGCACTTTCTTTATAAATTCTGGACATCTAGATTGTATGTGACCAAATTGTTGACAACAATGACACTTGACAAAACTCATATCTTTTGGTTGAAAACTTATACCATATTGAACGCCATAGTTGTTTTTTCTTCTTTCCATCCTCTGACTACTAGTGTCTGATTTTCTTCAAGAGTTTTATCAATACCCATCATTTATTGACTTTCCTTCAATGATTTAACTATTTCATCTAAGTGTAGGGTGTTCTTCCATGCTAACATTGATTGCACTAGTGATTTGTAATATTTGGAGAGTGAAACCAACAAAAGTAACACTTGCTCTTTATCTTAAATAATTTAAATAAAAGGTTAAAATATGTTTGTGGTCCTCCTAAATATCTCAAATTTTGTTTTTAGTCCGTTAAAATATTTTTTTCAAAAAATGGTCATTCTAAAATTTTTCATCCACACTTTTAGTCCTTAATACCAAAACCGTCGCTAAAACTATCGCTAATTCAGTCACTAAGTTAAAAATCGTCACTAAAACCGTCGTTAATTATGTCGCTAACTTGTAAAAATTGTCACTAAGTTGCAGGAGGGAGCAAAAGCGTAGATTAAAAATTTTATGAGGACCATTTTTTGAAGAAAATATTTTGAGGGATTAAAAAATATTTACGAGGATTATAAACATATTTAACCCTTAAATAAATTATTAGATACAAATTATAACATACTATTATTTTTTAAAATAATTAAAAATTATAAGAGCGGCATACCTTTTAGGAATCAGGATACCAATGTTAAGAGAGAACAAAGAACGAGAGGATTACTACCCTCTTATTCGTCTAAAATTTTTACTTTATATTAATTGTCTAATCGAGAAACAATGAAATAACTAAATAGGCGGGGGTATAAATTTCTCATTGGACTTAATTGAATGGTTAAATCAATCATCATCCATTCAAATACAAAATCTAATCAAATAGTTAATCAATAATTAATATTTAATAACAGTTGACAATAATATAATTAATTAATAACTAATTATGTCAATCCATATTTAACTATTTAAACAATTAATCTAACAAATTTTCACTGGATGACAATAATAAATTATTAAAAAATTTATTAACATTAATATTTGAATATGAATAATAGTCAAAACACCAATAAATCAAATGAGATATAAACTTCAACATTGTAGAAATTGTATTTGATAGGAAAAAAACATACACATTGAAGACTCACATTTTATATATAAAAAAGATAAATTTAGAGTAACATATTTAAGTTAAGAGAAACATGTTATTAAAAAAATGACTTAAAAGTATGCAAATGCTAATGATAAACTTGTTGTAACCCTAAATATCACAAGGCTTACTTAAAAACATATGAGATACCATACTCATGTATAAGTTTGTGGTTAATAATTTTACTAATGAGTTTTCAAATTAAAAGTCATAAAATATATATGTAGGTCTAAAAATAATAA